CGTCGTTTAAAGTCGACACACTAACATACGCCGGCTTAGGGATTAGAGCATCAATGTTCCGGTTTATGTGCGGGTAATAAAAAAATAAATCATGAATGCGTGCTCTATAGCAGTATGAACTTGACAGTGGAAGTAAAAACTGTTGAAAAAAAAACTGCTTCATTTGCTTAATCATCATTTCTCAAAAGTGTTGTTATTCAACAAGCCGGCGATTTTATTACCAATAAAAATCGTGTAACTTAATAACAGTCTCATTCTTTCTTTCACTTTTGTGATTTTAATTCTCCATATCAATTGGGTCATTCAGTTATTAACGCAAACGAAATTTGTTGGCGTGTTTGACGCTTATTTCCAGTACGTTCAAGTGCTAGTTCGACATAGATTGAAGATTAATCATCAACCATGCTCTATGCGAGAAAATTTGATGGATTTTTCAAACCATGAAATTAGTTAATAGTTTTAGTTCCCATGTTGAATCAGACAATTTTATTGACTGTGACTTTGATGGCTAAGGAAGTTTTTGTGGCGGCGTCATCGATCTTTGATCATAAAACAAGACTCACCGAAAATTCTTATCCACAAGACTGGAAAATTCGCTGAGCATGAAAACATTTTTCTGTTTATTATTTCATTTTTACTTCTGACCAGAAAAACGACTGGGCTAAAAACTATTGAGGAAACAAAAGTGATTTGGTCATAATTAACAACCAAAAAATTTTTGAACAAAAAAGTTCTTGTATACAATGGATACGTTATGTAAAAAAAATGTTCAAAATCATAAAAACAATGACACATCCTGTTGTTTAGATTTTATGTATGTGAAGCGTCCGGGTTGAAGTGCGCATTCGGAAGAATAAAACTATTTTATGTATTTAATATTTCGCGCATAGCAACAGGATAGACAACGCACACGAGTATACAAAAATTTAACGGTTATAATAAGAACTATATAAAAAAATCATGTTCAAGTTCGAATACCAAATTTAGTATGAAATATTATGATCATAGTACGATCAAAATAACGCGTGTAAATGTTCGTTTTCACGCAACGCCAATCAATGGCGTAAACACATCAGCATTAGTCGTTGTCTTTATAGCCGTATGATTTTGAAAAATTCCATGTGTCAAAAGCTATAAGCTCGACCAAATTTTATTTGTGAACGGTGGATGTTGATAGTTTTCGTTTTCCGGAAGCAACCACCATATACGTGCTGAGCGAATGAACGCGCATCGAAAATTCAACGCGATTCTCGAACGTTTTATGAATATACATGAATTTTTGTGAGTGAATGAATGAGCGTGCACCCGTTTGCTTATACGCTTGTGACATGGTTGTGTGTATTATCGTGTAAAGAAAGAACACCGACTATACCGGGAATACCGATTCGAGCATGAATAACAGAGAATGAAATCAGTTGAAGCAAAAAAGCACACCAAACTATTCCATGCCCAGAGCCATATAATCATCAAATTCATAGTACATTCGACAACAGCCAAATGAAAAATTTATATTTTCTACTTATAAACGTATGCGAAGTGTGTAGTTGCAAGAAGCAACACTCTGTTTGGTTGAGGCTTTAAAGAGCGAAAAATCTAAAGTTAAAAAAAATATTGAAATGTATTGTAGCTTGTGTGTTTGTGCTTTGTGTTCCGATGATGGTTCCATCACAATGATATTCTACAATGGGTTTTTTCTTCGTCGCTCTCTCTTTTCCTCATTGGATATATCGCATTCTTTTGGATTGTGCCTGGTTTTTTTTTCGTTGTTGTTGTTGTTGTTCTACAATACTTACATTACATTTTACATCAACTATTATTGTTATTACAACTTTCATACACATCGTTCGTTTTGAAATGAAAACGGATATTGATAAATAAATTCAAAATGGAAAAAAAGTGTACGTTTCACTCAATCTGTGTTAGCTCAGACGCAAACACCACAAATAAAATGCTCAAAAAAAACAACACAAACACATATCGAGTTTATGCATTTTGAAGAATTTTTCATTTCATTCGTCTATGTATATGTTTTTTTTTGCTTCTGCAAAGAAGTTGTATAGTGCATCTAGTAAGAACTATTATGATAACAATGTAGATATAATGCGAACGCCCGATTGAACATTGATTTCGACTATTGAACGAGCTATAACCACTCGGTGAGGAAAAAAAATAGATAGACACAAAGTACGGATAATAATATATACGGGCAAAAATAGATATATGATCATTTTCGTTGTTATTTTCTGGTCTTGTTATATGTATCTTTTTTACCTCGAGTGCATTTGCCAGAGCAGTGATTATAATTTTGAAAATAATTTCAACTATTCGAAACCCATGTAAACACTAACATAAACTCATTCGGTTGTAAATCACGAAATAAAGATTTACATTTATCGCATGCAACGACTTTTTTCTTTCTTTCTTTTTTTATTGTTTTATGTTCGATATAAGTTATCACTATGATAATATAAACAGTAGTTATCAGCTAAGCGTGATTTAAATAGCATTTTATCATATATGCCACTGTATACTAGGGAAATATTCCAAAAATAGCTTATCGAACCTTAATATATTTCCAAAACGAAAAAAAATCAAAAGGAGTGAAAAAAATTCAAAATGCGACGTGACATTTATGACAAATGAATCAGAAAGAAAGACCGTTGCCACAGCAATGCTGTTGTCCCATAGTGAGTTGGCAACTCAAATTGCACATTATCATTTATGGATTTTTGAATTGAATGAAACGTTTCGTTGTATCAAGACACGTACATATGACATTCAACACCAAAAACACAACGTCGTTTTTCGTCATTGTTGCTATCTATAAACTAATTGATGCTACTATGCTGTGGCATTTTTTTCTGTTTGTTAAATATTGTGCGTGTGCGCACAATGAAATGCAAAGAACAGGTCATATACTGAGCATAGATATTTATCCGAGATATTTTGTGAGAATCCGATAATTAACGCAGCAGTCCATGCATTATTGCTCCTTCTAAACGAAGTGTGTGTTAAACTCCAATTGGCGTGTTGGCACAACTACACTTTACTGAACTTTTGAATTACAGCAAATTCATTCTCATTTTTGTATGCTATGAGTAGCTGGTAGTGAGTATATACTATATCAGTGGTGCGATTTTTAAAATTCCAACGGTATACAATATGTATACCTTTGTATACAGTATACAAAAAAAATCCCGAAAATGAATTTGTAAAATTGGGTATGGTTTTATCACTTGGGTATGTTCTGCAAAATTGGAGGGTGATTCAAGAGGCTCATATCACTTTACTCTATCGATAGGGGAGGGTAGGGACCAGTAAAGTAACATGAGTAACTCCATGTCACTTTACCCTATCGATAGGGAAGGGGCCCCAACCCCTTCCCTATCGACACGGTAAAGTGGTATGCAGTTACTCCCTCTTGAATTACCCTCCAATTTTGCAGAACATACCCAAGTGATAAAACCTACCCTGAGCCAGATTAATTCGCTACTAAAATTCCTTTTATCGCGACCAAGATGGTGAATTTTAGCACATAATGGAATTTTTCTTGTATACTGTATACAGAGGTATACATATTGTATACCGTTGGATAGGTATAAATGAGTACAACAATATTGACCCAAGAGGGGTGCCCTACCCCCCATGGTATGGGAGGTATGCCCTCCGAAGTATTTTTGAACCTCCCCGTGAAAAACGCCCCCTAGCGGGAATTTTGAAAATCGCACCACTGATATAGTATATACTCACTACCAGCTACTCATAGCATACAAAAATGAGAATGAATTTGCTGTAATTCAAAAGTTCAGTAAAGTGTAGTTAAGCCGGCGTTGTTTACCTTAAACACAATACGATGGAAGGGGTAATAATGCACAGATCGACACTCATACTTATACACTCACACGGATGTGCTGTGCTTTATACTCACACAAAGATGCTCGCTCGTACATCGCAGATAAACGAGGAAAACAATGAGTTAGTGTGTAAGCATGAACGTCGATCTGTGCGTTATTACTCCTTCTAACGAATTGTGTTTAAGTCAAACACGAAGAGGTGTAATGCGCTCAATAAGCGTAATGCTTTGTTTGCCGAACTTCGTATAGACAGTGCCATCTATATATAGAATGGGATATTATTTCACAAGTTTGAGAATGAGCGCATATGTTATTCCAAAAATTGTTGAAAAATAATTTAATAAATTGTTTCATTTTTTTGTTTTGAAAGTGAAGTTAGCACAATTAGCATTAGATAATTTCTATTTAAAAAAAACATAAATTTATATGCGTTTTAATTTAACTTAAAAAGCCTCGGGTGTAGAGTGTGTAGATCTTGTAGAAATGATTTTGTTAAAATCTCCATACGTAAACTCATAAGTGTGAGTGTGACATTTGACAGATAGATACAAAACGTAATGTTATTGTTCTCTTACATACTTGTCATACACTCGTGCGAATTATTCTGTTCTGTTAAGTTCGTTTATTCCGTTCATTTATTTTATTTATATTCTTAATCTGGCAATCACATCGCAAAATTGCGTAAAAATGGCAGATTCTATTAACAGTTTTATTGATCTTGACACCGGCTGTATAAAATATCCTGATGGAGACTTTACTTTTATATTAAACTTTATTCTGTTTAGTTCGCCAAAAGATAGAGTGAGGGCGTTAGTGTGACAGATTTCATATAAAAAAGCTACTGTATTAGAGATCTTCAAACACGTCGATTGAAGTCTTGTACACAGTTCATTTAGAAGGAGCAATAATGCATGGAGTGTTGCGTTAATTATCGGATACTCACAAAATATCTCGGATAAATATCTATGCTCAGTATATGGTCGGAAAAGAATTTAGAGTTGCTGTTTGTTCAATGACGTTAATTGTATTACATTAACTTTCACAATTTCATTTCGCATTTGATATTAATACATTAAATAATTTACATAAAAATTCGGCATTCATTGCATAGGCAATACAATTGACGAATGTTAAAAATCAACTTACATTTAACGATTATGATACGTCTGTTCTGAATTTCGTCAGCTGAAACGAGACATAAAAAGAAACATATTGTTAGATGGGTAAATTTTTTTCCATGGATATTTGATAAATATAAAAATAAAATGATGGGTTAAAACTATTCACGCAGTACTGTGTCGATTAAGCGGTTTGCATGAGTTCAATGAAATAGAAAAAAAACTACCAGACTCGAATTTGTGTTGATGGCTTTACAGCTATAACAGTATAGATTTTTCCATTTTGATTTGTTTTCGAAATTCCAAGTAAAAATGTAATTATGAATGAAGATTGTATAATGGAAACTGATGGTAATTACAAATTACATCATTCGTTACATTCATTTGGATGGGCTACTATTACTAGTTACGATGGGCGGCTATGATTAAATTATATGTTATTCCAACAAGTAAAAGAGGGTTTTATTCAAATTTTTTGCTAGATAAACACCATGAACTAGAGAAATAGAAACGCAGAAGCAACGACAAGTTGATGTCATTTTAGTTGTAAACAAACGATGCGAACGAAATTTAATTGAAAATATATATAGATATTTATTATTTTTATTTATTAAATTGAATAGAATTAATTCTTTTCCAATTGAAAACACCGTGTGAAATGATTGAAGTAATAAGATGGAAAATATTAATAAAATTTCGATTGCTTTGAAAATTTTAATTATCAACACGCGGCATAATAAATCAGCCGTACACAGGATGGTACTTGTAGTTCAATATTTACAATCTCGATGTTGTTCGATCCAGCGCCGCCAAACCAAATCATAAATTGCATGCACACCTCATGCACGTAAATACATTTGAGATGAATGGGTGTTTCAGGTTCTTTAGTTCTTTATCGCTCATTCAATTTCCCTGTATGATGTTTGTGGCGTTGGTTTAGCTAACGATGTAAATTATTTGGTTAAATTGCGTAGATCGCGTTTAAATGGCATTTGCGTTTCAATTGGCGCGCAAAGCTCATTCAACCATGGTGTGTATATGTATGAAAACATGAATTTTATGAGTGTACATTAGCGATCAGCATGTGTGCCCGAGCGTCAAGCGCGAACTGGTCAGATAGCAATGAAGCGCAAATTAAATGTAAAAAAAATCTCACATATCATTGTCATAATCGTTGTACAAACATTTTTCGCATTCCAATGAAATCGAAATTGAAACGACAGAGAGAGAGAGAGAGAGAGAGAGAGAGAGAGAGAGAGAGAGAGAGA